TTTTTTACTGTAATAGCTAAAGGAGTATACACTTTTAATCGACTTATCTTAAAATTTCTTTTTTGTTACTAATATAAGTGTCTTTCATAAAGTTATATGAAATGTGAAATAAATTAAGTATCTGCAACAACCATAGTTTTTTTGCACACTATCTTTATTATCTGTTCAATTCTTCCCAGTCATCTAATGGACTTGGATATTTATTTTCCTACTTAAAATAATTTGAAGTTCAAAATATCCTATATTTTTTTGTTCTCCTAAGTTCTCCTTAGTTACCTGTATTATTTTTAAAAATATGTAAAAGAAGAATATTTAGGCAGCCATCATTACTCTTACGGAATTTTGATATGAATTTCATAAATAATAATATCTCTTCTATAGAAAGCATTTATTCTGTGCCATATGCTAAACAAGATATGTTTTATACCATCTCTTATTTAATCTTCACAGCAAATTAGACAAAATTACCTTTTTTTTTTTACAAATTTGTAAATTGATGCTCAGAAAAGTTGATTAACTTGCCTGAGGTCTTGAACTATAACAACCAATATGATAGCCTGATTTAAAACAAAACAAAACAAAACAAAAAACTTGTATTTGCTCTGTTTTATACATGTTTGAAACTATGTAAGAACCTGCAAATTTTGCATAACTTTTACTAAGGAACTGCACAATTTTACTGGCTTTTTAAACTCATCTTATCTCATGTGGACATGATTACATTATTATACTCTAGTCACAGAGGGTACTAACTCCTAATATTATACTTGGCACATAAATGACAACATTAATCAGTCAAAACAAGAAATTCTTCAACTGCTATTTCTAGTGAGCAAAACTGAGCAGGGGGGAAAGAGAATAACATATTAGCAGTATTATGGTAACAAAAATTCTTGTTGGAAGTCAGATCAAAAATAATGAAGGTAATAAATGTACTTAGTACAATGTGATAAATTACTAGATTTTTTAAATGGAATGGAGTAAACTCACATCTGAAAAGATATTTGCACACTGATATTCATAGCAGCATTATTCACAGTGGCCAGGACATGGAAGCAACTAAAGTGTCCTACGATAGATGATTAGATAAAGAAGCTGTGGTACATATATACAATGGAATATTACCCAGCCATAAGAAGAGATGAAATACTGCCATTTGCAACAACCTTGAAACAACCATGTTAAGCAAAATAAGCCAGATAGAAAAAGTTGAAAATCACATGATATCACTTATATGTGGGATATATACCTAAAAGCAAGAAACGAACAGAATAAACAGAGACTCATGGACACAGACAATAGACTAGTGGTTACCAGAGGGTGGGGGGAAGTAGGGAGCGGGGAGGTAGATGGGGTAAAAGGGGTCAAATATGTGGTGACATAAAGAAATATAACTATGGGAGATGAACACACAGTGTAAATATGTAGATGCCTTGCTGTTAAAATGCTCAGCTGAAACCTACCAGATTTCATTAACCAATGTCATCATAAAAAATAAATAAATAAAATTTAAAAGTAAATAAATAAAATGGCATGGAGTAGTAGGTAGAGATCTGCATTAGTAAGTAAGATATTTGGTTGCTAACTTATGACTGAAAAATAATATCCAGGAAAACAAACTTCACACTTAGTGTTGTTTACTTGTTATTATTATTTTTCTGTCTCATTGGACACTGTCCCCCAAGCTTCTTTTTCCAGTTTCAATACTAGTGTGTATTATCCTTTATATTCCTTAGTGTGTTGTATATATTCCTGTTCTGGCAATTTTGATTCACTGAATTAGTCCCCTTGAGCCAGCATCAGAGAGACTAGATAAAACATTAGGTAGCTTGTGCAAGTAAAATCTATGTAGAAACCATACCAGAAAATTTTAAAACACTTTTTGATATTTTTTTCTCATTTATATATTTGCTCCTTTCTTACTCTTAATAGTCAAAGAAATATATCCCCCCTGGATAAAATGGGGCACTTAAAACAAAAACGTTGACAATATAAGGCAAAATTGTTAAATGAGAGGAAATGTTTTCAGAAATGCTAATCTCCCTGGATTACAATGACAGTTGCTAATATTTTTTTTATATTCCAGCCATTCTGAGTGTTAGCGAGCCTTTATGAAAATCAGAGGTAAGTCGAGCATATAGAATGCAATGGAAGTCTCCCAAATCGTATCATTGATTCATTACTTATTAGCTCAACTTTTAATCAAATTAAATAGTATATATTGGAGTTATATTTTGTAACTGCATATATTAAAAAGTGTAAAAAAAAGGTTAGTATATTTTGTTTTATTTTTTAAATGTATTAATTTCTTTTTATTAAATTTATTGGGGTGACATTGATTAATAAAATTATATAGGTTTCAAGTGTACAATTCAATAATACATCATCTGTACATTGCATTGTGTATTCAACATCCTAAAGTTAGATCTCCTGTCACCATATATTTGACTCCCTTTACCCTTTACCCTTTATCTACCACCCCTCCATCTTCCATTTTCCTCTGATAACTGCTAAACTGTTGTCTGTGTCTACGAGTCTTTGTTTGTCTTGCTCGTTTGTTGCTTTCAATTTTATATTCCACATATGAGTGAAGTCATATGGTTCTCGACTTTTTCTGTCTGACTTATTTCTCTTAGCATGATGATTTTGTTATATTATATCAATTCATTCTCTATTAAATAAAGGCAGGAAATTGAAATCTCTATGCTTGTGTGTTCCTAATTGAATATAGGCCATGTAGTAGTTTATTTAAGAGAACAGATTTTAATTTCAAATAATCTGTGACTATGTTTGAAGTTTGTTAGCTATATAAATATATCTAAAGTACATAACATCTCTGAGTCTCAGTTCTTTATTGGGGAATGAAGATAAAAGTTTCATAGGTATGTTATAAGAGCTAAATGAGCTGAAATATAAAAGTCTTTATATATTTCACTGAAATAAATAATGCCTTTGCTATATCACAATTACTATATTTCCCAAAGTTGAGAATTAATTCCATCTGAAAGAAAAATAAAGTAAATAAAACAGCTCTTCTTAAAGCATATTACACACTACATATTTTATAGAGTACTTTCATTTATATTATTTAGATTATTCTCAAAATCACCCTTGAAATTTCAACTTTGTTTTAAGCAGAGAAAGCTGAAGCTCACAGAAACTAACTCATCTAAAGTCAGAGATTCATTAAGTGGCCCGTTTGTATTACTAATTCATATTCCTCTAATTGCAAAGCCCATATACTTTATGTAATAACGATTTACCCTGGGATGTCATAAATAAAAAATTAATATTGCTTTGATACCATAATTTAATTATTAACTTATTTACTTTCCCTTGTTTAAATTGTAGATGGCTAGCTAATGAATTAGAAGTATGAGGTTATTAGTTGAAATGCGCCATAAACCCAGTTATGATTAAATGTGATTTGATGGTGTCTCCTTTCACTTGATTTGTTTCTATGAACACTGGTAGGAATGTTGAGAATCGAATCTGCTCATCATTATTGAAATGAAGAAATATAAATTACTCAGATTTCTCTAGGAAAATAGTCATCTAAAATAATTGTGAAATAAAAGTAAAAAACTTCTAATAAAACAATCCTTCCAACAACTCAAAGAGTTCTTCTGAGGAGTTTGCTTAATCAGACCAAGAAAAGTTCTTAAAGGAACCCAGTGATGCTCACATAAACCCCTCCAATATCTATTAATACTTTCTCTTGCAGCTCTTTATACATTTGTTCACAGGCTTATTCAGTAGCCAAAAGGAGTAAGTCATGGTATTATTCAGAAAAGTGTTAAAATTGACAGGAAAATTAAGAGGAAAAACAAATATACAAAAATTGAAATAAGGTTAAAATATAGTACAATAATACATTATTCACCATGAAATAGTAATAATATAAAATACATATATTTAAACTGGGTCTCCAATGCCAAGAAGTTATTGTAGAAATTTTAATCTTGAGATTGAAGCTAAATCTTGTCTATTTAATGAGAATGTATTTTGTAATTTCAAGGTGTTATGAAAAATGAAACAAATCCTAATGTAGGAAAAATGATATTACTAAGCAGGAATAAAGTTAGTTAAAAGAATAAATTGTAAAGAAATTTGAGGAAAGTAACTTTGAAATAATGTTTTGTGAAGTTTTCTTTTAAATTATGTGTAAAAAAATTTTGACTCCCTTTACATTTCCTTTGTTATAAATTTATTCAATCCAGATAATTTAGCCTAAGTAAAAAAATACACCTCAAAAGGGTGTATTACTAGCCTAAATTATGAACTAATAATAGTTATTATTATTTTTAAAAGAAAGGGAAATAAGTTGTATAGGAATAAAGGTGATATAAAGGTGATGTAAATGACACACATAGGTGTGCTGAAACATCAGGTATTCAGATGTCTTTCATACTTAAATTATTTTCTACTTTTTTCTCCCCTCTGTCCATAACATCTGAAGTTGCTGGTGGCTATGAAGTTAGTATTTCTGACTATCAATGAGGTAGTAGCAGGAGTTGGAAAAGCTGGGTGTTAGCAAAAGTTGATAGATGGCTAAGGACAGAACAGTCATTTTATTTAAAAAATATAGTATCTTTCCCACTTTTGAGGATTCTCAATGTAATTAAACTTTTAACTTACACACAATGGAAAACTTGTATAAGGATCGGAGCAATTACACAAAACTGATCCTCATCAGGAAGAAACTGTGGGCATTTTTCTGAAAGTTCACAGGTTGTTTTTGAAGTCAGAAAAATCTGAGAACAAATCCATGCCCTATCACTTCGAGCTCTGTGATGCTAAAAAAAATTTTTAATCTGCCTTTACCATGGAGTTTTCACCTATAAAACAGAGGAAATTAAAGGATCATTGTTATTATCAGGTTGCTTTAAATTTCCCCTGACGATGAAATGACATACTATTTCAGCCAAATTCTGGCTTCGCAATTTGGATATTTGTTAATCCACTCTTCAGGTTTGTTACTGTGCTTTCTCCTATAGGTCTGGCAAGGAAAAAAACAACAAAGCAACTGAAGAATGACAAACCATACGGAAATAACAGAGTTTATCCTTCTGGGATTGTCAGATGACCCAAAGCTTCAGGTGGTGATTTTTGTCTTTCTGCTCATCACCTACATGCTCAGCATCACTGGGAACCTGATCATTATCACCCTTACCCTGCTGGATTCCCATCTCCAGACACCCATGTATTTCTTCCTCAGAAATTTCTCCTTATTAGAAGTTTCATTCACAACTGTCAGTATACCTAAGTTCCTGAGCACCATTATTTCAGGAGATAAAGTCATTTCCTTTAATGATTGTATTGCTCAGTTATTTTTTTTCATTCTCTTGGGAGTCACTGAATTTTACCTTTTGGCTGCCATGTCCTATGACCGTTATATTGCCATCTGCAAACCTCTGCATTACATGACCATCATGAACCGAAGAGTCTGTACACTCCTTGTCTTCTCTTCATGGCTAGTTTCATTCTTTATCATATTCCCTGCACTCATGTTGTTCTTAGACCTTGATTATTGTAGGTCTAATATTATTGACCATTTTACCTGCGATTATTTTCCTCTGTTACAACTTTCTTGTTCAGACACAAAATTCCTAGAGATAATGGGGTTTTCCTGTGCTGTCTTTACTCTAATGTTCACTTTGGCATTGATATTTCTGTCCTACACGTACATCATCAGAACGATTTTAAGAATCCCTTCTGCTAGCCAGAGGACAAAGGCCTTTTCCACGTGTTCCTCTCACATGATTGTCATCTCCATCTCTTATGGCAGCTGCATTTTTATGTATATCAAACCCTCAGCAAAAGACCGTGTGTCTCTGAGTAAGGGAGTTGCTGTACTAAACACCTCAGTAGCTCCCATGTTGAACCCCTTTATTTACAGCTTAAGAAATCAGCAAGTCAAGCGAGCCTTCATGGACATAGCAAGGAAGACTATCTTTTACAAGCAAATGAAATCATAATGTGTATGAATTAGAGACACATTGCAGGGAAATCTTAAAAATATAAACATGAAATTTCAGAAGCTCCTTCAAATCACAATGGACTCCCTGTAGCCTCGTTCATTCTCTTTGTTTCTTTCTAACAATTCTATTTGCTTAATATACTTCTTATTTAATCTCAATAACTTTTCTTATGTCTGATTCCCATTCTTCTGAACACCTCCTTGCAACTTCTTAAACAATGATTATTTTTAAAAGTAAAATTATATTTTGAGTTTTGTTTAGAAAAAAATTATAGCCAGAAATAGAGAAAATACTTTTTAAATATTTATATGATATTTTACTTACTATACACAGAAAATATAATTTTATAATTTTCATTTATATTTGACAGATATTCCTTTCATCAACTTGCAGTTTCTTTAGGGAAAAAAATTTGATGCCTTACAATTTATTGAAAAACGTAAATGCTTTTATTTAAAAATCATGAAACATTACTTATTTTAATAGGATCTGTTTATATAATTTACTGATATAAAGCATAGACCATTAACAATATACACTTTTGTAGGTTTAGGTGCTAAACATATCTTTATATTTTCACATCCCATTATAACTCAGTAGATATAGGTAGATATATAGGTAGTGATATACATTCTATAGAACATAGTAAAGAAATAGTCATTAGACATGTAGGGTAAGTTCACTCTCTCTAATTCCATAGACTGTAAGCTTTGCTTTCTGACTACTCTAAATATAGTAAATGGTCCTTCTCAAGTTTTTGACTAGTTTGAAATAGGGCATATATCTAAATTATTTTCTATCATCTAGAGAAAATCATTTAAGTTTTGTAGAAAATAAAGCTTCATCAAAAAGCAAAAAAAAATTTTATAGAGTTAGAATTTTATCTGTTAAAATACTCTTCCACTCATTCTATTTAAGGCATTGATAAATGCCTAAAGTATTTTGGAAGGATGTGTGTGTGTCTGTGTAAAGATGGAATAAGAATCATAAATACTAAATAGTATCATAAATTATATATATATGACCTTTTTAGTAATAGAAAATGTACTATAATTCTACTTAGTGGTGCGACATTCCTAATGTTTATTATGAGGTATATTCAATTGAGAGATACAGTGCAGGATTTTCTGAGAAAGAAAAAAAGTGACAGACAGAAAATTAATGTGGATTTAAAATGTTAGAGGAAATTTATGAATACCTAAATAAGACAAATAGTTGACAAATAAGATTTCTATAGTCTCTAAGCATATATTTCCCCATCTGTTAATCAGGCATAACATCAGGTAAATCAGGAATACATAACTTACTATAAGGATAGAAATAAAGCTGTAAAGCACAGAACAATAATTAGCTATCAATAAATTGTTGTAATTATTATTGTTACAAATATTGTTTTCTGTATCTAACTGTTATAGTTTTGAATATGTACAGACTACATTTTTTAAAGTTGTAAGAACAGCTAACAACCTTAAATTTTTAAGGGTACAATTCAGTGTTAACTATAAACACATTAGAGATCTGTTATGTATCAGATCTCTAGAACTTATTCATCTTGCATAACTGAAACTTTATGCCCATTAATTAGCAACTCCCTCATTTTTCCTCCCCCGCCAACCCCTAGCAACAATCGTTTCCCTATCTCATTCTATGGGTTTGAATATATTCAATTTCTCACATAAGTAGATTCAAGCAGTATTTATACTTTTGTGACTGACTAATTTTACTTAGTGTAATATCATCAAGGTTCATCCATGCTGTCACATATGACAGAATAGCCTTCCTTTTTAAGGCTGAATAATATTCCATCGCGTGTATTTACATTTTCTATATCCATTCATCCTTCTATGAACATTCAGTTTGTTTCCTTCTCTTGACAATTGTGAATATATCGCAATGAACGTGGGAGTTCTAATATATCCTAGAGACCCTAGTTTCAATTATTTTAAATATATACCTAGAAGTGGAATTACTAGAAAATGTGGTAGATCTATTTTAAAGTTTTTTGAAGAACTTCTATACTGTTTTCCATAGTGTTTGCAAAATTTTGCATTCCCACCAAAAATATACAAGGATTCTAATTTCTCCATATCCTCACCAACACTTATTGTCCTTTGTTTTCTTGATAATAGCCATTCTGACAGGTGTGAGATAATCTCTCATTGTGGGTTGATTTGCATTTTCCTAAAGATTAGTGACACTGAGCATCTGTCATAGACCAGTTGGCCATTTATCTTCTTGTATTCAAATGTTTTCTTTGGAAAAATATCTACTCAAGTTTTCAGCTGATTTATTAATTATTAGGATTTATTTATGTTTCTTTTGCTATTGAGCTGTAGGAGTTCATTATACATTTTTGGAAATTAACCTTTTATCAGACATGGAGTTTGTAAATATTTTCTTCCATTCTATAGGTTTTATTTTCATACTGTTAATTCACTCTTCTTTCTTCTTTAAATGTTTATTAGAATTCACATGTGAAGCCGTCTGACCTTGAGCATTTCTTTATTGGTAGAGTTTTGATTACTGCATCAATATCCATACTAGTTATAGCAAGTCTGTTTAGTCTTTCTATTTCTTCATAATTTATTTTTGGTAAGTTGTATGTTTCCAGGAATTTATCTATTTCTTCTTAGACATCCAGTTTGTTGGTATACAATTTTTCATAGTAGTTTCTTATGATAACCTTTTTATTTCTGTGGCATCAGTTAATAATGGCCTTTCTTTTATATCTGATTTTATTATTCGGATCTTCTTTATTTTTTCTCCATCTAGATAGATAAGACTTAGTCAATTTTGTTTATCTTTGCAAAAATCTAACCCTTAGTTTTATGGATTCTTTTCTCTTGTTTTTTAATTTTCTATTTATTTATTTCTGCTCTAATCTTTGTTATTTCCTTTTTTCTGTTAACTTTGGGCTTAGTTTGTTTTCTTAATCTTCTTTAGGTGTAAAATTAAGTTTTTTATTTGAAATCTTTTTTGTTTCTTTAATGTACACATTTATCACTTTGAACTTTTCTCTTAGTACTGCTTTCACTGCATCCCATAGTTTTGGTATGTTGTTATGTATATGTATTTAATGTTGTTTAAAAAATCTATTTTGACAATTAAATGTCAATGACTAAAAAAAAAGGAGATATAGAAAAACTATAAACCAAACCAATTTATTAACCAATCACAATGTATAGACAGTATTTGTTTTATAATCCTAACCAAATATTAAAAATTTTAAAGTACTATGATATTTATGAAACAGTTGAAAATTTACCACTTACATGTCTGCATTTGTAATAAAAAAATATATATATTGCTTTTGTTAAGTGCAATAATGTGATTGTTGCTAGCTTTAAGTCTAATTTTTAGAGATTCTTATTGAAATGTTTACAAATTAAATGATATAATCTCTGAGATTTGTTATACAATAATATTGGGTGTAGAAGATCAAATGGCATATACTTGAAGAAATATTGACCATGAGTTGTTTATTGTCAAACTCAGTGACATGGTAGTTGTTAAGTTCATAATACTATTTCATCCCATTTTATTTATTCTTAGTGGTTTATAATAAATGATTTTATTTAAAAATTAAAATAAGTACCAACATTAGTAAAATAGTTGAGAAGAATAAAGATAGTGACAACATTTTAGAAATTAAAAATAATAGCTATTTTCTTATTGTAAATGTAGAATATGCACATTTGAATAATTTGGGAAATGTAGATAAGTATTGTGAAGAAAATAATTACCCAGAACTCATTTTAACTGTATGTATTCCTACATTTCTAGAGGCAATTATCATCAGGGATAAAACCATTTCCTGTAACAAGTGTATAGCTCAACTAATTTCCTTTTCTTTTTTTTTATGTAAAGATTCCTTTTTATTAACAGAATCACAATACCATTTTTTCCACTTCATATTAACAATAAAAAGGAATATTTTTAAATGACATTAGTCATTATGACACTCGTTCAAAATGACATTCAAAAATGTCTATAATAAGAATTCAATATTACTCATGAATTCAAACATTTAAATGCCTACATATAGTACATTAATATTGAATAAGACTTAAGTTTGTTAAAGGAAGTTAGAGCAGTAATTATATAAATTCCCATCTCAAATATGATAGTAATTTCAAATATACCATAGCAAGAAATTTTTAAAAATGTTTTCATGTTCAACTAATTTTCTTTGTCTTCTTGAAGATGATTAAATTTTTCTTGTTCTTGATTTTTATAAATTTAGTGTAGCATAAGTGTACATACTTCTCGTGTTTACCATATGCATCATTTGCATCGTGTTTACCTCTTGATTGCATCATTTTTTCTTGTTCTTGATTTTTATAAATTTAGTGTAGCATAAGTGTACAGTGTTTATAAAGTCTACAGTAGTGTACTGTAATGTCCTTGACCTTCACATTTATTCACCATTGACTCACTCAGGACAATTTCCTGTTCTATATGTTCCATTCATGGTAAGTGCCCTATACAGGTGTAGCATATTTTATCTTTTATATCATCTTTTCATTGTACCATTTCTATGTTTAGATATATTTACATACACAAATACTTTCCATTGTGTTACAATTGCCTACAGTATTCAATACATGTTGTACAGGCTGTATACCATCTAGGTTTGTGTAAGTGGACTCTATGAAGTGCGAATAACAACGAAATCATCTAATGACACATTTGTCACAACATATCTCTTTTCTTAAGTGGGGCATGACTACAATTTGAATCATACAGTAGATAGCCTTCTCAGGTTGTCTTATTTCACTTAGTTATACAGATTTAAGCTTACTCCATGTCTTTTCATGGCTTAATAGCTGTTTTCTTTTTAGCACTCAATTATAGTCTATTGTCTGTATATACCATAATTTATCCATTCTCTTACTATAGGACAACTTGATTGTTTACAAATTTTGGCAATTATAAATAACAGCCAAAGCAGTTTTGAACAAGAAAATCAAAGCTTCAGAGTTCACACTTCCTGATTTTAAAATATATTTCAAATCTACAATTATCAAAACATATGGTACTTACATACAGACAGACATACAGACTAATGAAACCAAATGAAAAAC